ATTCCATTAAAATCACGTACACTAATATATTTATTCATTTCCTGCTGCATTTTCTGGATATTGGTTGCGAGGGGTTAAAACAGTATTACATATAATATCTTCCATGGCGAGATGATTATGCTAGTAGGACACTTGGGAGCTTGGGAGGCCCTTGGGGGTATTTCAGCTCACTTGATCCATGGAGATAGTCAGCTCAGTTATTTTATTACCATTGCTATTTTTTCTCTCTAATGGAGATGATGAAACCGAACCTGAAGGATCAGGAAGCTCAGGTGCTCGCTGGGTGAGCGGCGGCCCAGGTCTCTGACTCACAGCTCGTCCCACTCTGCTTCTCTGTCTCCTTTCCCAGTTGCCGAGTTGGTTCAGTGAAGAACTCGAACTGGCGAGATCCTGGGAAACAGTGTCACAGCAGCAGACCACAGCAAAGAACAGAAGGAAACGTGCCTTTTTTGTTGTACCTGTGAAAACGCAGGGTATCAGCTCACAGGCTGCTACGGGGCTGCATTGTCCTGGGAAAGGGGGAAACAGATGGTAATTTAATAGGAACCTGATAGCATTGTTTTGGGTTGGGCAGGGGGTGTCCTCTGGGGGACTAGGAGGGAAGCTTTCAGCTCAGAGCCACACCCCGCTCAGAGAAGGAGCCTGCTGTGGCCACTTCCGTCCTCCCACATCTGCCCTAGGAGGAGCCCAGAGAGGATGGGAATGTGAAGGTCGCCATTGCTGCCTGCTGCTTGTTCTGCCAGAATTGCCTGTGTGCGTGTGTGTGCGTGCCTAGCACAGGGAAACACGCTGGCCGGAGGTGTCTGAAGCATGGGGCATGAGCAATGTGAATCACTGCTCGTACTCTCCTGTTTCCTTTCTCTGTGCTGGCTGTGTCCTGAACTCGAACGGCTGGCTCTTCCCTGAATAGAGCTGCTTCTCTATTCAGGGAAAGTGTGGTTTAAAACTAGAAATTCAGGCTCTACCACTAACCAGCTCTGTAATGCTGAGAAAGTCCCTTCACCTGGGATTCTTATCCCACAGTTGATGCAAGGATGCCTTCTTTGCTACAGATCTATGTAGTGGCTACTCTGCAGGTACAGGGTTGTAGGCTGCTGTCAGGGGTTGAAAAATAAGTATGAAACAACCCTTTCCCAGCACCTTTTTCTCCAGTCACTGCCTCAAGTTCTATAATGCCTAGCATCTAGTGAGCAGCTCAATATTAGACAAAGAACTGGAGTTAATGCTGTTTTGAGAACAAGGAAAACAGGTTAAAGACCTCTGAGATCCGCTTGGTGCTTCTTTAGAGGTTGCTTCACGGAGAAGGTAGCGTGCGTCGCAAATGTTCTAAGACGCCGAGAGAAAGTGTCGGCCCCGCCAGTGCCATCTTCTGAAATCCGTGTAGCCCAACACACGCACACTCGCACGGGGCTAGACGATACTGTCACTCTCCTCTTCTTCCTGGGTGCCATTTACACGTGGCCTGTCCCTTCACTGGGCACTCTCTTACCTTTCCCACCCTCGTTACGTACTCTCCACCTATGTCGTCACAAGTGTTCCTAAAGACCAGGGGTTCCCCAGCCCATGCCCTCTGGTCTGCTGCTCCCCGCTAAGCTCTGTGTTACATGGCAACTGGACATGTCCAGTCTGATGTCCCACAGGCATCTACACTCACCCTGTCCAAACTGCACCCCTCGTCCTCACTCCCGACTGTCTTCTTTTTACAGTGTTCTTATTTGGTGGCTGATGGCCTCCCCTAGGCACCTGTGAGCACCACCTGGGGAGGCCTCCTGGACCCATCGCAGCAGCTTTCTGCCCCCTCCCACCAGCTACCAAGCCTGTCTATTGACCAACTTTCCCTATATCACTCTTGTTTATGTTCCTTAAAGCACTACTTCCTTTTTCAAGCCAACTGTGGTTCTGTTAGAAGAAAATCCTAGCCCTTTAAGGTGACCCGCGAGGCCTGGCTGCCTGTCCAGCCTCTCACCACCCTCCCCCGTCTTCGTGCCAACCCTCCAGCCATCCTGACCTGCTTGCTGTTCCTCCAGTGGGTCACAGGCCCTACGCCCTTCTCCCAGGTGGGGCTTGTCCCCATCAGCTTCCTCGCCCTGGAGTCTCTCCCTTTTCCCCAACCCGAACTCCATACCTGGCTGTTTCCTTCCTCGTCACGTGTCAGGACTTCAAGTAGCATCTCCTCTTCCTTGAGGCTTCATCTAGATTGGCGGCTCCTGACAGGAGCTTTCATGGAACCCTTCAGTGACCTTTATCACAGCACCAATGACGTCATTTAAGGTGCCCCCCCCCCAGTGGGACATGGTGATCATCTAGTCTCTGCTCCTGACACAGTGCCTAGCTCTCAACATGGGGGACCAATAAATACATTTTCTACAGTAAAGAGAGAAAGAAACTCTTTCTCAAAGTTATCTTGGGATGGCAGTGAGACCCCAGGGTTTTAATGTATCCCATTACATTTATGAAACTTGCAGTAGGGACAAATCCCTGTGAAGGTCCGTGGGTTCCAGCGTACCTTCACAACTAGCTGATTTCTTAGATTTCCTTTACCACCTGTCACCAGCTCCTCCTCTTTGCTGTGAGAATTTGGCCAACCGGCTGCTGTCTAGGAGCTGGTGACTGACAGATTCCTGAGCATCATTGCCAAGCTTAAGAAAAATAAGGTAGAGAATCAGGTGTCAGCTGTCCAGGTGCCAGGAGTCAAAGTGATGCTTTCCCCTCATATTTCATCTGTGTCTTCAACAGAAGCAGCTTTGGGAAAATAAAGAATACCATGGAGTCTGAGGCCCAGCCAAGAGCCTGGCCGCGGGGTGGGTGGGAGGGGGTGAGGAGCCGCAGAGGCAGTTACTGCAAGGGTGGGTACTTCCGGTTGTTCCAGGAGAAATAATTGCAGAGTCAGCCCGTCAGAAATGAGGCTGGTGGTACCCCCTCTCTCCCCCACCCCCTAATATCTTGGCGCGTTGCCTGCCATCAGATTAATGAAATCTTTTAATTCTGACAGAAATGACAACCTCATGAGGAAAAAAGTATGTTTTCATGCCGGTTGACAGATTAAAACAACATCAAGAAGCAAAAACTTTTCCTATATAAGGGCTTAAACGCTTGCCTTGTACAAAATATTGTGAGTTAATATCTTTAATTCCGGGGTATAGTTTTTCTCCTAGACTCTTTAGAGTTATTTCCAGAACGGTAAAGCCGGTTTCAAAAGCCATGTCTAAAATCGAAGTGAGTGGAAGAACAGGGGAAGAAGAGGGGGTCACACTGAAGGGAGAGAAAGTTATAGATTTCAACCACCAATGGGCAACGTGAATTTAGATTTTTTTAAAAAGCTCGAAAACTGTAATGCCTCAAACACTTTAACAATTTTTGGAAACTTGGAGCAAAACGATTTTAATTACTGAGTCGCTGATGGTAATTGGAAAACAATTCATCTCTTATAAACCGTATTTATATATGTTTCTAATGCAAAAGATATAGGACTTATGAAACTCAAATGATTAGAAGTGTAGGTTCAATTTAGAAAGGAAATCTGAGTAGAGATGATTCCTTTCTATGGATAGCAATATTTAATGTTAAGTTCGATTATTATACTATTAAAGAAATCTACATAAATAAACTAAAAGTGAGGGTAAGTTATATTTTTCATCACCAAAATGCTGTTTAACTTACAAAAAAAATTAAGTCGTACCGTGCTCCATTATAAGCATTAATAAATTGCTTGTTTAAAAATTATGTTTAGAAAAATGTGCTTGTCTATGCCTTTTTTTAGGAGCATGGCTATCAGAATAGCAAATGATTTACCGATGGATACTTAGAACACATTAGGGTGGGTGTTTGTTTAGATCTTGGATGTTCTTAATGCAGATTATTCATTTTAAGATTCAACAGCACACTCAGTCTCTGAGAAACATGTGTCCTCGACTAGAACTGCCTTTGGCATCTTTTTCTTATTCTTAGGAACAAAATTCAGGCCCAGGACTTCTGCATCCCAGAGAGGCACCCCCTTCTCTGATTCACAAGGAGACATCTCAGTTCCTGGGTTCAAATCCTCCCTCAGCCAATTTTCAGCTGTGAGACTTTAGGTAAGTTACTTAACTTTTCTGTGCTTCAGTTTCTTCATCATTAGTTTGGGGATAATAGTCTCTACTTCAGAGGTCTGGTATAGGATCAAATTGATTTATGTAAAGTTTTAGGACAATTCATGACTGATGCCTAATAGATACTCAGTCGATAGAAACAATAATTACCGACATTGGAAAGCTCTCACTCTTTCTAAAGAACTGGCATAAATAAAGGGAGACTAAGTTTTACAGCATCTTTTCAGTATATACACTCGGATTTTGCAGTGGAGCAAATAACTTTAAATAAATAGTCGAAATTATTTAGATAGAATATCTTCTCTTCAATACTCTTGCATTAATTGTTTAAAAACAAAATAAAAAGACAAAGGAGAAAAAAAATCCTGGCAAGGGGACAAGTTTTGAGAATTGTTTGAAAGCAGTAATTGTGTTCAGGTGGCCGCCAGGCTACTGTAAACACGGTGTGGAGGAAATTAGAGCCCATTGTGAGTCCGCAAAATGGATGTCTTTTCAGCTGAACAGATTGCTATCAGCCTAACAGAGCCACTCGCGTTCCTTTTTGCTCCGTCATTTCCTTTACTAAGTGTCTGTAAGAACCACCCACTCTGGTTTTTCTCAGGATTACAGGTTTTTAGGTCAAACAGAGACTCTGGGGAGTGCCTGAAAAAGCCAAACACAGGCAGTTACATTATGCACGAGCCCGATGACATCCACCCCACCATTGTCGTGTGTCGCGGAAGCTGCTGTCCCCCAATTTGTGTAGCTTCTCTCACTGTGGGACCCCCAGCAATGCAACCAGGATTTGTCCTAAAGCAGCTGGAGGTTTCCTGGTGGGCGGCAGGCTCCGCGTGAGCACCGACCGCCCCTTCGCTCTTCGCAGGAGCTTGCACAGGGGGCCTGCACGCGTTGTCATCCTTGGGCAGCTCCAGAATGGACGAGACGCAAGAACCTTTGGCCATGACCGTCCACCTCCTCGCCAACTCTGGGCATGGCGCGCAGCTGCAGCAAACTCTGGACCAGCTCCTCGGATGCATTTGCCCGGAAGTTCGTCTCTTTCTGGTGTCAGAGCGGGTCAGTCCAGTGAAATACTATGACAAGTGCCACCCCAAGCGATCTCGGTTCCCGGGGATGTCTGTTTTGCTCTTTCTGCACGAAAACCTCGGAGAGGAGAGACTGTTTCGCGTTCTAGACTCTGCAGCACTGGCCGTGGCGGTGCTACCCAGCCCCGAAGGCGCAGGGCAGCCCGTGTCCCTACATCCTTGCCAATCAGGACTTCTACAGTCTGGACAGCCAGATGCCGGTCTGGGGTGTGAGGCAGGTGCACTGTGGCTCAGAGATCCTGAGGGTGACGCTCTACTGCAGTTTCGATAACTACGACGACGCCATCCGCCTCTATGAGATGATCCTGCAAAGGGAAGCCACCTCGCAGAAGAGCGACTTCTGTTTCTTCGTGCTCTATGCCACCGACAGCTTCGCCCTTCAGCTTTCCCTGAAGCAGCTGCCGCTCGGAATGTCGGTGGACCTGAAAGAGTCTTCGGTGCTGCAGTTCAAGGTTCAAGAGATCGGCCAGTTAGTGCCTCTCCTACCCCATCCGTGCGTCCCCATCAGCCGCACCCGGTGGCAGACGCGAGACTATGATGGCAACACGATTCTGCTGCAGGTACGTACACCCGTTTCTCCTCTATGATCTCGTAGACACACGATGGCAACACGATTCTGCTGCAGGTACACCCGTTTCTCCTCTATGATCTCGTAGACACACACGAAACGGTGTGGTTTTACATTTGAGAAGGGCCTGAGAGACGATAGAAAGTAGGAGTTCCCAACCTTGGCCGCACAGCAGAACCCCTGGAGATCTTTCAAAAATTCTCAGGGACTCTCTGGGCACTCAGGCGTGGGCATTTTTTAAAAAGCTCCTTGGATGATTCTGATATGTAGCACGTAGTGGGTTTGGGAGTCACTGACCTAATAAAATCCCCTCAGCTGACAGAAGGAAATTCAGACTCCAGTAGGTGGGCTGCTGCCTCTGAAACATTTGTTGACTTATTGGCTTGAGTTTAGGAAATACGTTTGTCTCTCCAGAAAAAGTGTATATTCCAGAAGCTAGCAGGCATAAGCAAGCATGCATTTCTTTTCATTTTATCAACAGACATTTAGATAAGTTCATCTTTATTAGCCATTAAAAAAAATCATCTCTCATGAAGTGAGTAATTCACGTTCTTTTTCTTCTATAGCATTTCTCGAGGGCGCCTTTCTCATTTCTGAGTCTCTCTGCTGTCCCCACAGCTGTCCCTGCTTGGACCCTCTTCCTCCCATTTTGTTCCTCTGTTCATTTCCTTTCCATTCTCTATTGCTGCCCCTAATTACTCCACACAGCCAGCCAGACAGCCAGACAGCAGCCAGACAGACAGACAGACTCTCTCTCTCTCTCTACCCCCATCTCTCTCTCTCTCTCTCTCTCTCATTCCCATATTCTCATTCACTCACATTTTGGTTTATGATGCCTTGAAAGAAGATTGCAGATATTGCTCAGAAGCCTGCTGCTATAAAATAGCAGGTTAATGTCAGTGGTTTTGGTTAATCAATTAAAATAAATACCTTTCAAAAGATCGGTTAATTGGAAGAGACTGATTTCAACTCTTAAGTAAGCAAGTCTGGCACTGTTTGGGGGTTTCTGATTATCTATATAATTTGTTTTCATGCAATCTTTTTTCTCACTGTAAGAGAATTTTTTTTTTTTTTGCTGTGTCTTGGAGTTACATTTAGTAAGAGGCAATATTATTTTCCCTTCATGATGTTAGTCTTCCCCTTAACAACTTGATCATTTTTCAATGATGTATGTTTTCTTGTTTCTCAACTGTTTAGAGCAAATCGAGTGACAAATGATCTTCTAGTGACAAATGATCTTCTTGTTCATCAAGATACTTGCTAATGTTCCCTGAATCATAAAAAAAAAATACCTAGCTGTCAATTTTTAGCATTTTACAAGCATTTCTTAGAAAGATGAACTCTAAATGTCAGAATTCCTACACGTGCATTTCAATTTATTTTTTGGCAGGAGGAGATTTATTCTCCCTCAAGGCATTTATCTCAATCACTCAGCATTACATTTCTCTTAAAAATTATTCATTTCAATTGCACATATCTGCATTTCTGCATTAATAATGTTGTCCTCACTTTTGCCTTATAGTCCAAGGATCTTAGACTTCTCTTCAAAGATGAAAGTTGATATTCTTTTCTCTTAAAAAGATGGCAGAAATGGCCAGCCTTATGATGAAAATCACTTTCAATCGTCTTGATAAGACTACCTAATGCCGGGGTCCTAATTTATATTTTTTAGGGATTAAGCTTTATTTATCCAATAGATATCTAGTGATTGTTTACTATGTGTTAGACACTGTGACAGGCACTGGCGATAACAGTGATGAAGATGTGTACAATCCCTCTCTTCTAAATGGCAAAGTCTGTAGGAAGATTCAGAGAAGTAAGCAGGCAGGTGCAAAGCAGTGTGGTAGCAACTATGATATAGAAAGTACAGGCTGCTAGGAGAGCTAGTAGTAATATTAATTACAATGATAATAACCAACTCATGTTTAGTGCTACTATGTCCCAGATACTATTATCATTTAATCCTTTCAACAACCCTATGACGTTGGTCCTTATTATTATCATCTCCTTTTATAAATGAGGGAACTGAGGCACAGGAAGATTAGGTAACCTGTCTAAACTCACACAACAAATAAAGCACAGAACCAATGTGTAGGATCATGTAACTCAGATTCAGTGTCATTGAGAAAGCTTCCAAGAGGAAATGATGTGTAAACTTGGAGTTAATGATGAGTAAGGATTTTTAGGAAAAAGGGATAGAGGAGACATATCCTAGACGGAGGGAAAAATATACACACACACTGGCTTTCGGAAAAAAATAAATAATGTCCAGCAAACTGAAAGAAGTTCAATTTCAGCAAGTGGAGCTGGAAAGGGAGGCAGTGGTGAATCAGAAGGCTGGAGGAAGAAAGGGAAGACAGTGAAAGGCATGGTGGGCCGTACGAAAGGCTTGGCTTAGATTTTTATCTTAAGAAGAGGAGGGCGCCATTGAAACAAGAAAGTGACATGATCCAAACTGTTTTCAAATGCCTTTGGTGGTAGAGTGGAGAGTAGATTAGAAGGAGGGAAGAGCATCCTTGGGGAATCCCTTTAGATGACCATTGGAATAATACAGATGAGAGATGATGATCGGCTGCTCTAGGGTTAATGGCAGTAGACATGGAGACACAAGCATCTCTCAGAGACCTTTGGGAGGTAGAGTCCATGGGAGCGGGTGACATCGGGGATAGAAAAGGGAAGATGATGCTCTTGTTTGGGCAACATGGAGCTAATGATGTCATCTTCTAAGACAAGGAAAAGAGTGAGTAGAACCGATTTAGCGTGAGGAGGGAGATGAGTTCAATTTTGGACATGTTGAGTTTGAGGAGCTGGGGTGTGGAAGACAGCAGGAGAGGTAGGTAAGATGCTTAAGAGAAAGATCTGAGCTGTAGTTATACTTCTGGGAGCCTTTGTCACTTAGATAAGACTCGAAGCCATGGATGTCAATGAGACTGCCCTGAGACAGTGTAGAGCGAGTAGAGAGGGGGGCTCAGGTGAGCAGTGAAGAACTGTGACCTGTAATGAACTAACAGGGCTCCTTCAATGGAAACTGAGAAGGAGTGGATGGACAGGGAGGAGAAAACCTAGAACACATTTACATAAACGCTTATGGAGAAGGAGACTCCAAATGTACAAGAGAGAGGTCAGCCTCGTGACATTGTCCTGGAGCTCGAGTAAAAATGAATGGCAAGAAGGCGATCTTGGTGAGAGTAATTTCAGCGCAGCAGTGGTGGTGGGAACTCAATGTTGTGGGCAGGAGAAATAAGGGAAAGTCAGTAGGAAAAATGAGTGTGTACAACTTTTATAAAGAGGTTTGACTGAAGGAGAGGAGAGAAAAAGCTGGAGCTGAAAGGCGCAGAGAAAGGATTGAACAAATGTGTTTTTCAAGATAGAGTGAAGCGGTTTAATTTGCTGTTGGGAAGGACTAGGCAGAGAGAGAGAGAGAGAGAGAGAGAGAAGAAGGCGCAGAGAAAGGATTGAACAAATGTGTTTTCCAAGATAGAGTGAAGCAGGTTTAATTTGCTGTTGGGAAGAACTAGGGGGAGAGAGAGAGAGAGAGAGAGAGAGAGAGAGAGAGAGAGAGAGAGAGAGCGAGCACGAGTGCAGGATTGAAGAAACAAGATAATATAGTGGGAGAGAAAATGAATAATTGATACAGTGGGTTGGGTCTGAGGAAGTAGAAGATGATAAAATTCACAGCGCAGGTCGAGACTGGTCACTTTCGTTGTGGAGATGGTGGATGAAGTTGCAGGCGAGCTTAGTGGTAGGAACCTCAGAGAGTTGCTAGCTTATAACGGCTTTTGTTTTCTCTGTAATTTAGAGGGTGAGACCATCTGATGAGAACGCGCTGGGGTGAGGCGGTGGGGGCGGGGAGGGTCGCACCACTGAAGTCTGAGGACAGTTTGGAACATTCGCAACACTCTTGGGGTGAATGGAGAGAGACGGCGGAGGAAGCGCGAGGACTGGCAGGTAGCTGGGGCAAAGGCGGGAAACCACGCTCCGGGGCAGCGCCGATCCCAGCGGCACGTGCGCACGTCATCAGCATCCTGGGCTCAAGTTCAGAAAATGTGAGCAGGCGGGCGGAGGCGAGGTCGGGAGTTTTGAAAGAGGCTATTGCCCAGAGGGGGCAGCGCAGGAGGATTGGAGGTGTGGAACTATAAAGAAATGGTTGAAGTGGTGGTTTTCAAACTCGAATTCGCTCTGGAGAGAAATCAGGGAGGGCGTGGTGAAGAGCAGGGGTAACGCGAGAAGCGAGCGCTGGAGCTGGAAGCGTGGGTGGGCGTCTGAGAGAGCCGGGTTGAAATCGCGCCTTTTGGAGGCGGAGCGTTGTATGGGGTGGGGGGCAAGGCCCAGTGGAGGGGCCGCGGGACCCGGCGGGCAGAGCGAGGGGAGAGGGCCACTGCGCTGGCCCAGCAGGGCCCACTGAGTCAGGCTCAGCAGGCACTTTCAGGCGGCCCCGACACGTCTTGATGCTAATTGTGGCTTCAGGATGAACTTTGTTCTCATCTGAGATTGATTTAGGTGTTGGAAGGAACTTACTCAGGCTTCTCTTTCTCTTCACAACTGTCAGAAAATTAAATAAAACCCCAAGAATCAAATGTGTGGATTCCCCCCATTTTCACTTCTGGGGGTGCGGGGGTGGGGGGGGCAGTGAGGACCGAGTAGTTTTTCTTCATATATCATGGGCACGTTTATTGTTTTGCTATTGAAAATTAGGTCATAAAATTTAACTGTTTTTTTTAATATTCTATACATTACATGTAAGTATCATCAATTAGAAAAGGAACTCTAAGATGAGCTATCAGCACCAAAGGCTGGCGAGCATGTGGAAGAACAGGAACTCTCGTTCTCTGCTGGTGAGAATGCAAAATAGTACAGCTACTTCAGAAGACAGTTTGTCACTTGCACAAAAGTAAAACATACTCTTGCCGTAATATCAGCAATTGTGCTTGTTTGTATTTATCCAAATGAGTTAAAAAAAAAAAAAACAACTTATGGATTCACTGCAGTGCCATTTAGAATAGCCAAGATATGGACACAACCTAGATGTCTGTCAATAGACGATTGGAATCAAGAAGAAGTGGTACCTATATACAATGGAATGTGAAATCTTACCATTTGTGGCAACATGGATGGACATAGAGGGTAATGTGATTCATGAAATAAGTCACACAGAGAAAGACAAATACCATATGATCTCACTTATATGTGGAACCTGAAGAACAAAATAAATAAACAAAATGGAAATAGACTCATAGATACAGGAGCAAACTGGTGATTGCCAGTTGGGAGGGAGGGCGGGGCTGGGTGAAAAAGGTGAAGGGATTAAGAAGAACAAATTGGTTGTTAGAAATAGTTGCGAGAATGTGAAGCCCAGCTGGGGAATGTAGCCAATAATATTGGAATAACTATGTACAGTGCCCGGTGGGTACTAGACCAATCGAGTGGATCACTTTGTAAATTATGTAAATGTCTGACCACTATGCTGTACACCTGAAACTAATATAGAATTATATTGAATGTCAACTCTAATTAAAAAAAAAAAAAGCTAGAACATAATGTCAGATGATTCTCCAAGAGGCAAAGGTGGCAGCTCAGACTTTTGAAGGATTGTACTTATTCTATTCAATTCAGATGATTTTCTGACAGTCTGCCATGGGCATGGCGTGGCAGGGGGTGAGTGGGACGTAGTCTATTCTTGACATTCAGTCGACGGGACACATGGTTACATTTGTCCCTCCTTTCCTTGTCTTGTAGGTCCAGTCGAACCCAGGACCTGGCGTCAGGAAGAGTGAGCTCTCCCTTCTGAGCGGCACCTCGCGCACCAGCGCGCTCCCCCAGAGCTCCAGGCAGACCCCCGTCTCCACGGGGCGGACCCTAGAGCCAAAGAGGAGAAGGGGCCGGGGCAGGAGGGTCAAGGTGGGCTCTCTGGAGTTCCCTGCGCCCAGTGGGAGCCTGGCCTCAGAGAGCTGTAGCGGCAGCTCGTGGAAAAGCCCTGGCTGCGGGTCCCAGGCCAGCCATCCCGCCGCGGGCACCCAGCCGCCTCTGCCCTCCGCCCACTTCGATCCCAGGGCAGGAATGAAGGTCCTTAGCCGGGAAAACAGCTTGGAGAAGCTGGAGGCAGAGACGAATGTCGACACCGGGTGCACTGTGGTCAACTCCGAGCCCAGACAATCTTTCCTGAGCAGATTTCCGAGGGATCTGCAGACCAGCTGGCCACCGTCCTGCTCGCCAGCCTCCTCCGTAGGGGCAGCTGTCTCCAAAAACATGAGACTTTGGAAGGGAAGGGTCCATCCTTTGTCAATTGCGGGCCAAAGGGATCTTAGTGCAAGGAGGATAATCTCACACCGCTCCCTTCATCTGCCAGTCCAGGGTGAAGAAAAAGAAGGAGGAGAAGAAGAATTTTTTATATAGCATGAAACCAATGTGGTTTTCTAAAACACAAGACCGGATACGACGTTCTAGAAATGAAGCACTGTTTCTTGTTCATCGGACGGGGCCTGAGGGCTAGCCATGCTCAGATCTGTATTGCTTTCATTTCAAATGTTCAAAGTCTAACGATGCTGTCAGTAGTTGTTCATTTGCCATCATGGTCACAAGGGAACAGAGCCAGCGCGTAGGGAAGGAGCCCTCACCCCGCGTCCTCAGAGACACACTAACTGAGCGGGGAGCGCCCTGTTCAGCACTATCAGAATAATTTGCATCGTATGCAAATGAGCTGAATGTGTTATGCACTGTTGATTAGTGGATGTAATTTGGTTTTAATTTTGACTGGGGATGCATAGCTCATCCCCTTGGACAGTGTGGACTGGTTGTTCCTTAGGGTTTTTTGTTTGTTTGTTTGTTTGTTTGTTTGTTTTTTATGTGACCTCCTTTGGGAACTAGGTACACCTGCTAGTGAGTTTGCCTTTAAAGTTGTTCGCCTCTGAGTTAACATGCAAAGTGTTTTGAAAATTAGGAATAATTAATTTTTTTCCTGTTTAATGAGAAGAAACACTGGAAGCCAAAAAAAAAAAAAAAAAAATCAGGTTAAAAAGGAAAGCTAGGCTCGGGGGTTTGGCTGCTCCTCCGTTTCTTATTGATTTCTGCACTACTCCAAAGAGGCCGGCGGTTCGTGTTACTAAGAGAGGAATGTGACATCACTGGATGATTCGAGATCTCCACTGAACATGGCAGGAGGATTGAATTGGTTGGGACCCTGGAGCAGGATTCGGGTTCTTCCGGCCACGTTCAAATTCCTGAATTCCTTTGCAATGCTCATGCATTCATTCACTGACACTTTCGTTCATGCAAAAAAATATTTTTCAAGCACCTAAGTTTGAATAAGACATTGATATGGTATACACACATTCTGTGACCGTCAAATCAAAAGTATCGATGTTTTCGCCAGTGTGATAAATCCATTCTATCAACTCTGATGAATATGTGGAGATCCAAACTTATTCTTCTGGGAACTTTCCCCACAGTTGACCCTCACACTTGCTGCACAAGGCTGTGGTAAGCACTCACTGCAGATGAAGACTGGGCATATTGTGCATTGCAATTATAAGCGTAATTAAAAAATCCTCCATTGCTCATATGCTGCATTTTTTTGGTTGGGTCTATACATACATTTAGAAGAAGACTGAGGATCGTGTGTTTCAGTAATTGATAAGGTTATTTGACTCTATAAACTTCCTTCTCCAGGACAGATGTTACATAAGACTATGCATGCTGACTTCCCTGGATCTTCTGGTTACTTAGTACACTCATACGGGGAGGACCAAATTATAGCGCCGAGACTAGGCCAAGTGCTCTGCCCAGCTTGGAATAGAAATGGATCAGAGTTGCAAATAAACAATTATAAGGCTTCTAAATTGTTTTTTTTTTTTTTTTGGTCTGTACAACATCAATATAGTCCCATTCTCATTTTCTTTCTCTCCCTCGGATTAAAGGTAGATTTTAGAAAGTGGAATGGATCACTTAATTATGGTATGGTTTTCTGTAATAACATTTTTAAAAAGGAAGTCTTATTTAAGTTGAACTATTGAGCTGCCTTGAAAAGCACAGCAGGGGTACATTCTAACATTTCTTTTCCACCTTTTATGAGGTTACCTAAATTTCTTTAACGTAGTACAAGGGTAAGAATGTAAGTTCATGGAAATGATGAAGAATTGGAGAACTGTAAATGAATACCTTGCAAAATCGACTTGTAAAATGATACACTCTCAAACTATCATCTACTCTACCTTCCCACGCCACCTAGGAATCCAGTTTACAACACAATAGGATGGAATTACCAGTGAGCAAAGTAGAAGAGGCCCAGATTTTGGTTTCCAGCATTAAAATTTACTCTTTATGTGACCTTGAACTGATCCTCTGTTGCCTTAGTGCCTGAAACAAAAGGTTATTAAAAGAGTCAAGGTTATGCATATGAAAGTATTTAGATACTGCTAAACATGATCGATATGCAAGATAGTATTATTCCACGGCCCTTCAGACCCACAATTTAAAAATGTTATGGCAACAAAGAAGTTTTTTGAAATAAGTTTTAGTGGAATCAAGGATACAGTAAAAAATACAGTGTTTTAATAATTGCAAGTAAAATAGATCTCTCTAAGGTTTTTACTATGTGTGCCATTTATTTCCATCTAAGAGGAAAATTATGGATAGAAAGCATCACGTAGATTCTAAAGCTCAAAAGAGACTGTGTGAAAGGGATTAGCTCTACACTAATTTAATCCAATTTATTAAATTTGTCAGACCCTTAACTGTAATTATATTGTATTCCTTAAAATGTAAAACGTGTCACTTTTAAATCTGAGAGATTCCTAGTGATCACGTAATTTTATTTTTCCTTATAAGTGTATTAAAAACCAGTTGCATTGCTGTCGTTTGGCTATTTTTAACCTTATTAAGAGCATTTCACACTTTTTGCAGGTGTCATTTGGACATTGCTAAACATTACTAGAAATGGTAACATTTGGAAACTTGTGACTGCATCTGTCCCTTAGGGGAAGGAGAGCAGGGGACGTGGGAGTACACGCTCCTTGACTTAGGAAGGGAGGTGGACGAGGCCCCTCGGCTGCACCCCCGTCCGCCCTCTGCTCTGACGGGCCTTTGTCCAGGGATTCTGGTCCTTCCGTCACTCCTCCTCCAACGATCTGTTCGCCACATCCAGCTACGCGCGGAGGCACCGAGAGCGATGGAGGGAAAGCTGGGGAGATGGGGCACCCCTTTCTTCCCTCTCAGAGGAGTATGGAGAAAGGGGAAGGGAAGGCCGGAGAAGAGAATAGAGCCAAAAGCGCACACCACGTTTCCCGTTGATTAGAAGCTCCTAAATTTTGCCTCCATGTTATAGAACTTATTCAGAAATTCCTGAAATACTTGATACCGTCTGTCTTTCTTGCATCTCCTTTAAACCCTCATGTTTAAGCTTCTCTCCTCTTTCCTTTTTTCCTTCCCTCTCCTTTCCCTTCCTTTTTCCCCCTCCCTTCTTTACCCATCTCTCCCTCTCTTCCTCCCTCTTTTGTGTGTGTGTGTGTGTGTGAGTGTGTGTGTGAATTCTATACTCTCTTTATTCTTCAGTCTGTCTTGCAACCCTTTGTCTTTGTAACACGTCCCAGATTCCTCAAGGGGCTGACACAGAGCTGCAACTTCTACACAGGCCCCTTGGCTAAGCTCTGAGAGGATGCAGAACAGATCCTTCCCAATTCCGATTTATCCCGAGCCTTCTGCACTGGGGCCACTACAGCCACATCACTTAGATATAGGTTGGTCTCTCCCCCCACGCTCTCTCCTTTCTCTGAGGTCTGAGATGGTTCTGGAGCATTTCTCACAATTAGCCATTTAAAAAATTGGCTGTAGCATTTGATAGCAAAACAAAAGGTGCCTATGGACTGGTGTTATTAAGGACTTGATCCTCTTAAACTTTATTTTCAAATATATCACTTTAAAAGTCTAGTCATTCCAGAGAACCTGTTTGGGCTACTGAAGACACAGCAAGGTCTCTGCTTAGCATGAGAAGAAATGTACTGTTTGCACCAATTCCATGTCGACCAGAGACGTTAATGACGTGTTTAAGAATAATCATTTTTAAGAGGGACAATAACATTCGATCTGAATTGACGATGATGGCTGCCCTGTGCAGCACTGCTCACATGCGAGGCACTCTCTCAAGTATTTCAATCTTTACACCGATCCTGTGAGGGAGGAGCTATGATTACTCTCATTTCACAGACGAGAAAATCAAGGCACAGAGGTCAAGAGCCTAACTAGAACTGCGCAATGAGCAAGCGGCATGCATGGGCTTAGAATTCAGGCTGTCTGGCTGGAGTCTGTGTCCCTCACCACCGTATCACCTTGCCCCTTGAAGGAGGGTACGAGGGGACCTCTCAGTTCTGGCACGTGCCCACTCTGCCTACACACCGTGTGCCTGACCAATAGGTGTACTGGTTCGCCTTCTGCGCCTCGAGCATGTCCTGCTTGTCCTGTCTCCCTCAGACCTGCCCTGGTTGGCGCCTTCCTCTGGTTTAGAGTTCAGGTTGAAATGCTTGTCACAGGGGACTGGACCAGATGACACTCTTATTAAGCAGCCCCGGCATCCGGCCCTTAGCCCACTGCCAGGACCAGAGCAGGTGCTTTTACAGATATTTTGTTCAGTGGATGCACGGCAAGGGTGTGGGAACACAGACGAAGCTTTCATTTCTTAGATGCCGGAGGTGAGTGATGGTCTTAGTCGGCTGGGGCTGCCATGATGCAATGCCACAGGCTGAGTAGCTTAAACAACAGACATTTGCTTCCTCGCAGTCTGGGGGCTGGGAAGTCCAAGATCAAGGGGTCGATACGGTCGGGTTCCGGTGAGAGGTCTCTTTCTGTCTTGTAGGAGGTCACCTTCCCGCGGTGTCCTCGCGTGGCAGAGAGAGAAAAAGCTCTGTGGTGTCTCTTATCAGAGCACTAATCCCTTCGCGAGGGCTCCACCCTCATGACCTACTCACCTCCCAAAGCCCCCACCTCCAAATACTATCACACTGGGGTTAGATAGGGCCTCACTATGGAAACCTGGGGAGACACAAACACCCATTCCACAAGCATGTCCTGTGTGCCAGACCCTGGGGATGTGGACATCAGGTAATGCACACCTCCTGCCTCCATGTCCAGGAGCTTGTCCAGGTGCTCAGTGAGCCTCACTTCAAAGGAGCAGGTTTTGTCCTTAAGAGACACAGCCACACTGGACGGTCACGGCAGAAATGGAGCCGGTGCTCTCGTCACAAGGTGTTTGAATTCTCGCAGGCACGGACGGTGGTTCATTCCAGCTAACATCTGTTATAGGTCACAGTCCTGTTTATAATCTCTCTCGCGGGAGAGCATATGCATCTTGGAATTTTCTCTTGCTTCGCGCGATGGTCTAAGTCACAAAACTAAGTGTGGCTGAA